ATTATTAGTTGAAAGAATATTGAGTGCTGAAAAAAAATTTTAAAATAAAAATCAACTTCCAGGATCATCCCGAATTCAAAAGATAAGTTTTGTCAGACCTTTTGTTTCTTCTTTTTGCTTGTTTTTTTTTTAACTGTCACTTGGAACTAGAAAAGTCAGTTCGAAATCCCTACTTTTCACCATTTCAAAAACGCTCGAATTTTATGTATTCAGATTTTTAGTTTTTTTGGATAGAAACTAAATGTGAGCACAGCGACAATGCTCTTCAAATGAGAAAAGTAATGTACAATAACTTGAATTCAATTTAACCTAAAGTTCCTACATAAAAGAGATTTTTTTCTTTTTAAACGAATCATAAACTTTATAAAGTAGTATGAGAAAAGGCGGTATTGAAATACATAATATTTTTTGGGAGTTTTTTATTTTTGATATTAAGAATATATTAATAGAGCATTTACCATAGACCATTGATATAATTTAAGCAATAATTTTAAAAAAAAAATGCCATCATATGATATATTTTATTACTGTAGATGTACAAAAAGTAAGCACTTACACCAACTTTGCAAAATAAACCGCTTTACTTCTAAAATCCTTGTAGAAGGAAGTTACACGACTGTTCTACATACCATGGGTGATAAATATTCAGGAGGCAGTCATTATAGAGTTTTTATTAGTGACGGCGTTTCAACCCAAACATGTGGGTAATCATGAAGGCGTGTTTCGAGCACTGAAGGTATTCAAGTGAATATATAATTAATGCATCCTGAATATCTATCACCCATAAAATTCTGGTATATATCTAGCAATCTGAAATTGTGTTTGAATTGTAATAATTTTTTTTATAGATATATTTAAAATTCAACATCGGTTTATTGTATTCATAATTTAACGATATATATATTTATTTTTTTTGGAAAACGGTAATGCACTATTTGTTTTGTATATTGGTCAGTTTGATGTATACTGAACACACAGCTTGCTTTGTGTGTAGTGTATAGTGTATCTGTTGATTGGTGCTAAACTCATTCAACCAATTTATATCTAAACGTAGGCTAATTGAGTAAATTGTTCCGAATGGAGTGGACACCCATTAGAATAAGTTGAATCGAGGGAAGGACGCAGTGGAAGAAAAATGAGAAGGAACAAAGGTAATGTTAATCGTAGTTTAGTTTTGTATTGCTTTATTAATAATATAAACATATATATATAATTTTATGTTCAATAAAATATTTTGATATTTAATTAGGCGGTAACTGTTTCACGTATCAATAATTCTATATAAATAGAAAGAGAGAGAGTGAGAGAGAAAATGAAATATATACCACCTTTTTAAAAATTAGGAGCCGCCTCATTCACTGTTTCCAGGTCATTGTCATTCTTCAATTACCTGTTTGAAATGTAAATGACTTAACAGTGATTTACAACTGAATGAACTGAATTAATCTTCAATATTTAATTACAAAAGTGTTATCGATATTAGATATTTAAATTACTTTCGTCATATCAAAATTACTTTATGTATTGACATTTAATTATAGAGAAACTATAAGCTTAGAAGAATAATAAAGTTTAGGTATAAAAAAAAAATCTCTCTTTCTTATTATAATGAAAATAAAGGAAAAAAATAGATAGATTAATACAATACGAAATATATGGAACTGACTTTGGCAGAACACGAGCTGCTGCTTTGTGTAGGTCCCGTCACAGGCGGATCTACGGAGGGGGGCTTTGAGACTCAAGCCTCCCCTCTCCTCCTCCCCCCCGCCAAAGAGGATAAAACAAGATAAAAGATGAATAGCGAATAATTGAGATATTTTGATTTATATCTTCAATAAAACTCGATATCATTTTGTTATCAACACTACTTTCCCCTTTTCTCCTCTCTATCAAGCCATCGCGTTAATATACAATTTTCAATATCAGCTCATTACAAAGAGGATAAAATGATGAACATTTTCCTCGAATACAATATGTAGGTACGATTTATAGTTTTTGAGATATTTCAAACCATATACAAAAACACTTCAATTAGTCGACTCCAGCCGACTTTATCCGAGCGTTAAAGAAATTTGACGGCTCAATCTAATTCATTCTCCATAAAAAATTTGCAAAATGCACCTAAAGAAGTTTTCACTTCAAAAAGTGGACAAATGTTACACCATTTTCCTGTTTTTTATCTATAGTCTATCTATCTATCCTGTTTTTATCTATAGCTCGTATAGCTCGAATAGTAAAGAACCGATGTTACATTCACGAATCTGACTGAATGAAAATGAAATATTTTCTTACTCGTATTTCATTTTGAATACCTCTAAACAGTTTGATGTTAGTTGAAACGTTGAGTAATCGATGAACTATTCGCAAGATGAAGACAGAAAAAAAAATCTGATATTTTTTAACACTTCTATTATTTTAACACTCCTTTGAGCTACTTCTAAACTATTGGAAAACACCATTTTGCAGTTCTTGCCTAGTTCTATGAATTCCGAAAATTTTTGAAACGGTAAAAACCGATCATATATTCATGATACGTATGAAGAAAAACGAATGAAAATTTGGACAATTTTTAACGCTCTTATTTCTTTGGGCCTGCTTCTAAAAGGTCGGGATTATGTTGGATCGCTGAATAATCGATAATCCCTTCTCGAAATAAAAGACGAAAAGCGTAGGAAAAAACAAAAAAAAGGGACACACCTTTCTACCGTCTTTTCTCGTATCTCAATTATGTGAAAATTGTAGGACCGATGATAAACTGACCATCCATTCACGAGATGTAACAGAACCAGCAAACAAAACTTATATATATGTATAATAACTTACATAAAATAACTTATATAGATATTTTTAACACTCCTATTTCATTTGGGTTACTGATAAATTGTCGGAAATATTGTTGGAATGCTGAAATCCCGATCATCTAATCATGAAATAAAAGATGAAAATCGAATAAAATAAGTGTGAAAATGTTTTTATATTTTCCCGTTTTTCCTATCCTTGAACAGTTAAAAATTTGCTGAAACGGTGAAAATTCGATCATCTATTTACTACAGAAAAGACAAGAAGCGAATTAAGTTTGGAAATGTGTTCTCCATCCAATTTCCTTTGGTCTCCTTCCACAGTCTGAAAGATGCTCGATAGGTGCAAACTTATTCACGAGGCAAAAGAAAAAAACGAATAAAAATTAGGAAACACTTTTATACCACTTTCCTATTTATACTTACCTATAAATCATGCGAAATTGTTGGTAGGATGAAAGGTAATCATTCATTTACGAGATAAAAGAGGGATAGCAATTGAAAATTCTTAACATTCATACATCATTTTCAGTGTTTTTCTACCTAAAAAGTCAGAAAATCGTTTTAGTGGTGATTTATCAGATCATCTATTTATGAGATGTGTACGGAAAAATTGATACTCCGCCCTCTTCTTCACCATATAAAATTATATAACAAACAATACATTATAGACTCTATATAAAGCAAGTAAAAAAAAAAACGTGATTTAAATAATTTCCTATAATTGACAAAACAAAACAAATTTAATTTATATTAGAGTACCAACCCAATTATGGGTCAAATTATGTAAGTAAAATGAAAAAAATAATTTTATTCTGGAACTACGGTCGACTAAAAATAATAATAGAGTTACAAATTTATGTGTCTTAGGCTGGCTTAGAATAATACAAAATACAAACTAATTAAATGTTGATTGTTATTGCAATTGCGCAGTAGATTAAAATTAAATAGCATAAGGATGCAAGTAACTTTACATGTTTGGACATATGCTCCTCAGGTGTGGGGTTCATGCAAAAAAACTCACTTATATACTATTCAAATCTTCCTATCTAAATTTTTCCCGTATATCACTCATTGTCCCTTCTACGTAAGCAATAAATCGCTTTATAAAGACCTAAAAATACCACCAGTGACTGACGTAATTAAGAAGTTTTACAAAAATTTTCACGACCCACTTATTGGACATCCTAATCCACTTGTACAAACATTACCAACAGATAAACTACAGCACAATCCAACAAGAAGACACAAACGCCTCTGGAGCAGGGATCTGCTACATTAAGATAGATTAAGATTCCATTACATTAAGATTCCATATTTTATGGAAAAAAATATTAAAAAATTATCTCTTAAAGTATTATTGCTCGTGTAATTACATTTAAAAGGACTTTAGGAATCGCATAAACACCATTTCATATAGGTAGTTAGTTTCTTTCTTTTTTTTCTAAAGTAATTATCGTTATTTTTATGAAAAAAAAAATCTTTCGGGCTGAAGCCCCCCAAAAATTAAATCCTGGATCCGCTAGTGGTGCGAAGCGCTGGGATCTCCTATAGTCCTGACTTTCCTTCCACGAGTGGGGAGAAAGGTTGGCTCGGAGTTCTCCTGAGTGAATGGATTCTGTAAATATTTTATAGTATGCATATGTTTTAGTTGTTATTTTGATTAGTTTAGTTCTTTTGTTTATATATATTTACTTTTCTTATTGTTATTTTCTGAATTATTTATTGTAAATAGAGTGTAATTGTACTCTCTGGACCCTATTATAAATGTCCTTAATTGTGACAGATTGTAATATTTCTGAATAAATAAATAAAACATATATATATATATATATATATATATATATATGTGTGTGTGTGTGTGTGTGTGTGTGTATATATAGTCATTAATTGTTTCATATATTATGTTATACCGTCTATAATTTTTACCTTCAGTTGCTACCGCTAAATATTTGAATAGTAGTATTGCTTTATTAAGGGCACTAATAACAGATTTATTGAGCCTATCAAATGATCAAATGATGAAAAGACCTATTTTTACTCAAAGTAAGGTTGTAAGTGAACGTAGGGTGGTGCGTGCACCGCACAACATTGAATTTTTTTTAAATTATCATAGCATTTATTTTTCTATTATAATCTAAATGTTAAGTATAAGTCAATTATAATACATGTAGTTTTAAAGAATTTTGTTTTGTTTTTCAGAAAACGATGACCAATGCCAAGAAAGGAGGAGCCTTCAAGAAAGAAAGACTGAATCAAAAACAAAGGGTATTGCGTTTTTATTTAATTAATTTTTTTTTTAATTTTAATGATTAATATATCAATACAGATGCATAGCTGTTTTATAAATACAAATAAATAAATTAAATTATTTAATTTAATATCTCAATCTCAATAATAATAAATAATAAATACGTATTAAAACAATACAAAATACTTTAAAACAAATGTATAATTAATACAATGATAATGTTAATAAAAATATATTTTTACAATATAATTTAAAATATCAATCCAAACGATTGACATTATAAAAGCTTTAGAGCATTTTAACCTTACTTCCCAAAAGACAAATCTTCTCCAAATAGTTATTGGGGAGGGAGGATTTATTTTTATTTATTTATATTGAGATCCCTCATTTAGCAAGTAATTCCATTTAGTTATATCAGCCACACCATGGATTAAAATTTAATAATGGATATTGGAAGTAAAGAGGAATGTATTTTTTTTTAATTGAAGGATTAAAAATTAAGAGTGAGGGCATGTTTGGAGAATGAGCACTGATTGAGATCCACGTAAATTTATGGAGGCAAGATTAGACCCAGAAGAAGATTTCGAATAATCTTTAATAGATATATTTCCAAGTTGGGTCTAGCGAGAGGAAAGGCGTTGTTGAGATGAGTAGTCATAGTTGCGAGAGATAGAGATAGATAGAAATGGAGATCCTAGAGATAGATAGAAATCGAGATCCTGTAGATGGATAGAGACATATAGAGTTGGAGATCCTAGAGATAGATAGAGATGGAGATCCTGGAGATAGATAGAGATAGAGCTAGTGATAGATAGAGATGGAGATAGATAGAGACATATAGAGATGGAGATCCTATAGATAGATAGAGATAGAGATAGATTTTTAGATTGAGATAGAGAGAGAACTTGTTCGGATTTCTTTATCATTTATACATTAACCTATAACAATGTTTGTGCCTATTCAAACCATCAACAGGTCCATTCTATAAAAGACCAAATCTGTACAGGAATTACATTACAATACATCGTATTGTAAAGTGGGTAATTGAATTTATAATATAATTTTAATTTATTCAATAACCTGTTAATTAATTAATATTATTTTAATTTACACGAAACCTCAGCACATTTCTGCCAATTCAGACCCTCAACATGATATAATTCATTATTAATTGAATTGAGTTAACATATATTAAAATCGTTTAATCTTAATTAAGTCATATACATAGTTGTAAAATATTTTTTAGAATTATACCTTAACTGGTTATTTCTCATAATTACATTTAGAAAAAAACAATTATAATATTTAATATTTATGGGAAGTCAAGTCATCTGTATTCTTTATTATTCAATTCAAGTATTATTTATTCAGTATCATTAAGAATTTTCAAAAACTTATCATTATAGAGGGTATCATTGTGGAGGGCTCTATATAGTACACGAAATGGTACAAACCCGACCTACGTAAAAAAATTACAACCAAAAAAATAAAATAAAAATGATTGAGTTTTTCTTAATTTTGTGCTTAAAATTGAATGGAATTCAAAAGTTATTAGTATAGTTAATAATTTCTACTTTTACACCATTCGATGAAAATAAATTTTTCCATGGAAACTAAATGGAAATATAAATTTTATTCTCATCTTGACAAATTAAAATAGTGATAAGGATTTTTGTATTTTATAATTTTTATAAATTTATATTCATTATTAAAGCGATATTCTAAATTCCATTAATTTATTTAAAATTAATTTCTAGTTAAAGAAGAATGTTAAGTAGTGCATACACCACTATATTTTTAAATTTTATTTTACGATGTACATGTATTACAAATATATTAAGAAGTAATTACAATATGATTTAATAAAAATAAAATTATTTTAAATGAAATGAAAATATAATCGAATTACTGCAAATTCTCCGTCTAGAAATTATAATTTCCGAAGAAAATGGGATGTATTCCTAAAAGAATGAATGGTAGTGGGGATGTAAATGAATCAAAAAATATATATCTTCGCAGGGGTACCCATCCCCTCCTTTCTTTATTAGGCTAATCTAATTGCTATAGCTTGATTTTTAATTCAATACTTACCTGCTAAAACAAATTCACCCCTGTTTTCGTACAGAAATTTCCAGTCAATGTTATTTATTGATTAAAAGTTGCATTTATAAATTTAACATAAAACTTTTTTTGACATTTATCGTATAATATTATTTTTCCGCAAAAATATCATATATATCAATACTGATTAAGCCGGCTTGGATTACCATCTCTGTCACCTATTAAGGGGATTAAAGTATATAATATGTAAATTTGTGATAATATTGTACTATTTTTTTTTATAAATATGAGCATATCACTTTTTTTTATTTATTATAATTTATTTTATATTCAAATTTGACTATTTCTTTTTAGCTCATATACTTCATAGCTTTATTACTCAGTGAAAAATCATAATTTATTTATTTTTAGTAAATTCGTGACCTGGACCCATAGATACCCATCCCCACCAAGGCCGATGGCGCATAAACCTTCCCCTACACCTCCCAAGATATTTTTTTCCTCTCTTCTTCTTAAAACAGTGCAAACGAAAGCAGAATTTAAATATTCATAGTACTTACCTACTTACCTACTTCATAGTACTACCTACGATGGCTTCTACATACCGGGGTGGGTCTTAGCCTTCTCTAAAACTTCCGCAATTCAGCTCCGGTCCCTCGAGGCCGCCTTCCAGTTCTGTTGGTGAAATATCGTCCTCGAGTCTGCGGCCACACCGTCGATCCATCTCAACCTGGGTCTTCCTCTTCCCCTTACTCCCTCTATAACTTCTCTGGGTATTCTCTCTTCAGCCATGCGTGCCACATGTCCTGCCTAACTGAACCTTTCCACCTTGATGAGCTGTATTTACCAATCATCAGTCCAGCATTATCTCTTTGAGGTTTCATGTTAATTAAGTTTAGGAGAAGCAGGCTATCGGCCTACTGCCCTTGACTCAGGTGGAGCGACTGGCTCCTCAGAGCTCACTGACTCGCTCCCCCGTTCGGGGATGCTACCTAAGGGAGGTTGCCCTACGGTGAGTACTGTTATTTACCTTAGTGTATAATGTTGGAGTAAGTGTAGTGTGCTGTAATCTATGTACTGTATGAGTGTCAGTGTACTGTACCTCCTACCTGGAGGTCCAATGGCTCTCTACGGTACTTAGACCGGGAGATGGGGCTGCCATCGCTCCATGCCGGAAAAATTCCCCTCTTATTCTTAAAAACAGTGCAAACGAAAGCAGAATTTAAATATTCATATATAATTACACATACTGCTGTCTGTTCCATGCTTCCACTTATCTTTTGATTTGAAACTTTTCATTTTGAAAATTCATAACGTCGTCGAAATATGCCCCCCTCAAAAATTGAATACCCCGTCAAAAAGTGCCCTCCTGATAAATTTTTATGGCTCAACTTGCGCCATTGAACCCACTTCTGAGCACCCCTGCTAGGACCACTTCTGTGTTTGACAAGTCCTTCTTAACAAGAGCTTTCTAATACCGAAACACTCTCCGCCTTAAGTCATGCACTAACATTTCCTCATTCAAATCCCTACTATACAACAACCTTTTCCTCATCCAATCAGAAAAATTATTATAATTTATTATAATATTATTATAAATTATAAATTATTATAATATTATATATATATATATATATATATATATATATAACTTTTTTCTATAGTATATACTTATATTATTATTTTATATATACAAATATTATAATAGCAACTTCCACTTATATTGTTTAAAAATAAAAAGAGGAATTTGAAGAGAGAAACGTTTCGGTTTGGGGTCTTTGGACAGAAACTAGAGAAGAGATTACGCTTTCAACTGTTCATTTTTTTTTGGAAAATCTCGATGTGTAAAGAAGCTATCTGCAGAATATGGCGGAACTTATTATATTGGACTAACAACTTCACCTGTATTACTTCTGGCCATTTCGTTTTTTACTCTATGGACAGAAGTGATAAGGAAGAGAATGAGGAGAAAATCATAAAAATTAATGAGTAAATTAATTGTTCGGTACTTTGGATGATAGACACGTGAAACTTTATCTTTTTTGTTCTCTCTTATTAAATATTATTGATTAAGAATGATCTGTTACCATGTGTCATTTAGCAACTCAACAGAGTTAAGTAGCCGTACGATTTTTTATACTTTTCCTCTCTTAGCATTGCTACAATAGATTTTCCCCTATGCCACTGGTGTGGTGTTCCGGAAACTGCTGAGCACCGCTTATGAGATAATAAAGGCCAACGTGATCACAAAGGATGATTTCCCTCGCTAGTAAGCATGGACAATTGTACAAGTGGAGGATAAATTATTTTAACCTCTTTCATTGAAAAGGAGTAGAACAGCGAATCGGAAGACTGAAGAATTGTAATAAGAAACAGAAGAAGTGGCATGAGATACTATTTCCTAAAACCTTTTGACGAGAGGCAGATTAGGTCGGAAATAAATAAATAATAAATATCTCTAAAACGACTTTGTCCTTGAATAATAAAGCATTTTTACTTCCCTACCTATACTAGGTAAGGAAAGTATTGTGATCGGGTCAAATTTCCGACATGCGGTTTTCGACGGATCTATACGTTTCAGAGCCATCTGAGTTCGAAAAACTCATTTTTAGCCATTGGTGTGTCTGTCTGTGCCAAGATTTTCTCGGGAACTAGTCGACCGATTTTGTTGCTTCTTTTTTCATTTTGTAGGGTTTTGACTACTGATGCCTGTGACACAAATTTGGTGCTCCATGCGCAATAGCGGGTGTGCAATAAATTAAAAACATATTTTTCTCAAGACTGTAACGCGAAAAAGGCTCTAACGATTTTGATGAAACATTTCTATAATGTTCTAATAATTGTCCTTTCAATTTTCGTACATGGACTAAATTCCCGAGAATATTCAGGAAAAAAAGTTATAAAAAAAAAAATGTTTTGGGACCTAACTCGGTAAGTATATATTATATGGTAAAAT